ACCGGCAGTTGACTTCTGACTTTAAACTATCATGACCCCACTGTATGCCATATTCAAATACTTCCACCGAACTCACCTCACCTTTTTTCTACCTTTGTGTCTGTCTGTCTGTCTCTTTTACGCCTGTGAATCATTATTCTGTTCCCCTCTCGACTTTTTGCCACTTTGATGTTCCTCTTCCTTTCTGTGAAGCCCGAAGTCAACTAAAGGGCTAATGATATCTATCATAACGCCTGCCATTTGAAATAAATATTTCGCTAGATCGGTAGCCGATTTTACCATAATTTCGTAAGGTGAACGGTGATTATTCGCACTGGACTAAGGGCAAAGCGAGTGTTTCTTGACGCACGTATCAATCACCGTAGCAACATCTTCAATCCAATTAAAGGTGACACTTTCTCATGCATAATGATCAACCTTGTCACCGTCCATCCCATCATTCACACATTGACTTGAACAAATCACGAATTAGACCCGAACTCCTCAACATTGATGATGGTAACCAGCAAATGACAATCTTAATAATTAATTTGCGGAGTTAGTTTCAGTTTATAATATATATATTTGCAGCTTTTAGTTTCTGAGACATATTGATAGGTTTTTTTCATTCACTTCCGCGCATCGGTATTTAAGATAAATGTGAGAAATGGCACAAGGGTTAAAAAATTGCTGAACGTGATTGAACATGGAGTTTGTGAAGTGTGCTTTTATTACCTTTCTTAAACTGCTCATCATGTCTTCTTAAGTGACAGGTGAATGCGATTTGATTGATAGAACTTCTTCTTCCTTTGTTGCTGCAATCCGATTTCTTACTAGTAGCCATAAGGCTTTAGTGAAGTTCAGTATGCTTTATTTTGGTAAATTTTCTGGTCAAGTGGAAGACCTGGCAAAATTGAGATTGTCTTATCCAATCGAATTCAGTCTAACGCCCAAATTCTTATTTTTGAAGACTTCACTCAATAGCACCCACATGTGTCTCACAGCCACCGAAGTGATGCGTTTTGGTAGTGTATCAGGCGAAGGCTATGGAGACGTATTAAACGAGTTTTAAACGGCAATAGCACCTTTTGTGTTATGAGTCTAGCGCCAATGGAACTTATTTTGAAAGAGGACTGTACGTTCCTAAGGGCGTCAAAAGGTCAATAAACACAGTATTATATTACTGTGCTTGTCATTCATTTTGTATGATTTGGGTGAATGAATCCTTCACGTTCAATGGGAGTCATCAAGCTCTTCATTATTACCTTATTCGCTACGTCTTTCTAACATTAATTTTGTCAAAATTGTTGTAATTCCTTTTGAGACTAAATATTTCGCTTTTCACGCTTTGTTAGGTTCCAATGTGTCAAGAATCCAAATCTATGTTCTGAAAAGCACATTGAGAACAATCTTCACTTGTGTATTCAAGAAATTAAAGGTCTTCCTATTGGAAATGAGTAAGTCATTTGTTAAATCCATTCGATTTTTCGCGCTCAATTTTTTTTTAAGTAAAGATTTACTTTAGTTATTTTTGTGAAATCTACTTGGACGATGCTCTCTACGCCCAAACGGCCTCCAAAACAGTAACGGAAACATTGCCGTGGTCGGAGGAATTTAGTTTCACGTAAGTGACTCCCTCCTAACTTCCTCTCAACCAATCATGCATGCATATATATATATTGCAGTAGCTTTCCATCATGGAAAAGCATACGTTAACAGAATTAGCAGATTTGTTGAATTATTTGATTTGACTTTTAGATTAAGAGCAATATTTTTTAGACATTAGATGGAATAACGAACTACATGTATGGCTTCTCGAATTCGGTGGTTCCATAAACGTTAGTCAGAATGACGTCAATCATTTATGATTAGGAGCTCAACGGATACTTTCATATAAATTCGTAGCAAGATAAATATGTTTGCATGAGTTATGTCCTCAAATTTGGACAGTTATCAGTCACCGTCACGGTGTCCTGAATGCGTTGGTCATTTGACTTATTTCGCAAATTTGTGGGGATAGTTTTTATAACTTCGGCTGGTTTATTTGTTGTATACCTTTATTCCAGTCACGTGCCTTCTTTCAACGAGATCCAAGTTCTTCTCTGGATGTTCGTTTCAACTATGGTGGTTGAGAAGGTGAAAAATCGAAGAGCATCACTCCCTCGTTCTGGTGTGGTCAGCGTTGGTAGTAATGAACGTCTCTCCACCTATCGAATTTCTATTCCCAATCACTCCGACTCAATTATCTCCATGGAGAGTGAAGTTTCCTCTTCTACAGAGAATACCAGTGTGCTGGATGACGTTAGGAGTAGAAAAAGACGCCGACCGATGGGCATGTCCGGCAAGAAAGCGTCGGCCAACCTTCTTTTAATAGGTAAATGATAACTGTAGTGGAGCAGAAAATTATCGTTATTATCATGGAAAAGCACTCATTATATAACGTGGATAGTAAGATTGTCTTTCTAAAAGGTAAAGGGAGGGTCAAGTAGAAGTATAGAATTGACCACGGTCTTCTTACTAGGAACATTTCACTACTCTATGCCTCGCTTCAGCGCTCGATCAGTAGATTCCTAAACGAGCCAGATCATGAGATTGTCCTCAAACTGATAGAGGTGAGTGATCGGTTTCGACATGGATGTCTTCAAATAATCAGAAATCGTTTGATGTGGTATACATGTAGCGCTGTTCAATTAAGAGGCAATTTCCAGAATTTGTCATATTACTCAACCCTTTAAATGTTGACTAAATGCAGGGCTTGGCATGCGGTGACTGAACTCTTATTCTTACTTCATTTTTTTGAATAAATATAAAATGAACATAACTGCCTACAATATTGGGAATTTTCCCTTAAGAATTTATGTAATAAATTTGTTTTGATAAGTTTTAATGACGTCACAAATTAGGAGCCTTCTTAAGGCGACAGTTATATGCACTACCGTTGTTTATACATCGTCCGGTTAATTAAAATAAAATTTTCATGGAATTAATATGTTAATGTGCATTTTCGTAAAAATTTATTATCTTGCTTCTGCTAAAGAAGAGGCTAGTTAATGTTTTACAGGATACCAGAGGTAGAATGTGGAATTCAACAAATCTATATTGTGGCTTTATTAGAAATTAGCAGTTGTGTGAGTATGTGTGGAATTGCTCAATCCTAGCACCGTTGAAGTAGGCAATCCCGTGAGAGCCTGAAGCCATTCCACGCAAGAGGATCGTGCCTTGGAGATTACTGGGATTCAGTTAAGGCTTCTTGCGCATAGCAATAACCTACCAAAGTCCCATTTCTTCAGAGTAACAAAGTATCATTACTATTTGAGTGACTTTCGGTACTCATGCGGTGAATAAAATCGTATTTAACCATCTACAACTCAAGTATCACGATTAATGAATTGCGAATTAGTCCGAAATTTGGTAGTTAAGGAAAGCATATGCCTCTATTTGAGTATCACTAGTTTGTGGAATTTAAATCTCGTAGAAGTTCAAGCCAAAATGATCTCCATTAAAATTTCCGGAAAGCAAAGGCCGGAATTAGTCTGTTCTTCCCATGTCTCGTTTTTGACAACTCGATATTTAAATGCATTTAAATTTTGTGCGAACGTTTTTTCTTGCAAAAATTACTACTTTATTTAAACATTTACTTCACTCCCTGTCCAGAGTTTTGAAAATGTATAATATTTTCCCGAAAATTTTCTTCTACTAGTTGCATTACTTTTACTTCACTTGATTAATTGAAAGTATCAAGAAATTTCGGGTGATTTTCAGGGTACAACTCAAGGAATCACATCATTCTGCTCCTTTCATGTAATTTAGTCCTTTTGAAAAAAAATCATGCCAATTGCATCATCAAGCTTTCTGGGCTTTTTTTGCCTGAAGGGATAAATTATGTAAATTGAAAATTAATTCATGTGTTTCCACTTAAGGTCAAGGTCAAACTCTTTAGTCCTAGATACTGCCATTTAAGCAAGTATTTAATCTAGCTTCACTATACCTGTATTGCATTCTAGAGGGAAGCGTACATTGAACCTCACCAAATCTTCAAGTAAATCTGTGGTTGGCATATTTCCATTCATGGGATTTCAAAGACGGTGGGTGTTGAATAATACCTGAGATTGCCTTTCTGAAATTGCGCTTGGAGTATTTTTATGGAATTTCAATCCAATAAGGTCATAGAGAACTTATTTAACAGAATTTTTGTCTACCTGATAATTAATCTCCCCCCCTCTCCCTCCCCCACAAAATTTAATAAATCCCACACGCTTTTGGAAGCGTTCCATTCAGTGAAGGAGCACCCAGTTCTCCTTTCCCTCAAACGTACTGTTATTAGCATTCCCAAAAAGCCATTCACAGGTCACTTTAGTATTTTCTAACTAACACTTTGAATGTATTAATGGGAGAAAGGGGGGGGGGGAGGGTGGGGGAGGGGAGGGGAGCGTTATCAATTACCCCGAATGTTACACTTTATTCCCCCCTCTTCTTCTCCCGCTCTCAGGCCATTTAGCTTTCAAGGACCGAAAGTAGATTATCCACTGTACACTAGTAAGTGTTTAGGCAAACAAAATTGCTTTCTTACTGAAGTGGGAGCAGTGGAATCAATTTTCCTTTTGTATTTGCAAATTATGCTACCCATTTCACCATCATCTGGGAAGGAACTTTCTCGCACACTAACCTGTTTAGATTATAACATCCTACTATCCTCAATTGTGTACCTGAAAATTGGGAAGATTAATTGTTCTTTGAAAATCTACGGCTTTTAACAATGATTATTAAGATATAGTATAATTATAATTAAGTGTTTTAAGCTCAGAAACATTAATTATTTACTCTTACTAACATAATATCGATTTATTTCCATGACTCTAATTTACTTCTTTTCTTCAGCTAAAACATTGTTTTTTTGCAGTTCCTGGTTATACTTTCACTACAGAGGCAGCTATTATCGTGAACATTATTCATAGCGAATTTCTAATATTTGATAAATAATATGGTTGTTTAATTGTGTTCGAGAAAGTTCTGGGGAAAATCTTTATATAATGCTTGGCTTTCGAGGGTTGGTTCTCTCTGGCAAACAATTATTCCATTTTTCGTATTCTAATAAGTAATAAATTGAAATTTTATTAACCCGCTGGGTTTAGTTCCAAAAATTGGCGACTGAACCAACAATATATCACCGATTTTCTGTCATTCCGCAATTGCATCTCACGTATTTATAGGAAGTCCTGATTCTGCGATTTGTTCTTTTTGAATAAATCATTAATTGACATATCCTCATTTTTGCAGAGGAAAGTGAAAATTCGAAAGTTGAATGCCAATGCCAGTTTATTTAACAAAAACGACACGGAACTGCAATATTTCCGTTACTTTATATGAGTGTTTAAATTTCCCAATTTAGGTCTAGAATATATTGATTTATATCTACTGGATTGGCAACTAAGTCATTGCCGTTTTTGTTGACAGATTCACTCTATACTTTCTTTTGTTTTGTTAACGTGGCCAGAGCATCTAACCTATATTTTTTCTTACTGTATGGGCTTCTAGGTTAATTAGTAAAAATTTTTTTGTTTAGTTCTTTAGTTTTGTTTTTAACCCAATTTAAAAATGAAAGAACAGGACGTGCACTTCCGACACATTTTATTGTATTACTTCCGAAAAGGCAAGAACGCATCGCAAGCACAAAAGAAGTTATGTGCCGTATATGGAGATGAAGCCGTGAGGAAGAAAGGCAGTGTCGAAATTGGTTTGAAAGATTTCGTTCCGGTGCTTTTTCACTGAAAAATTCACAACGATCTGGCCGCCCAGTCGAAGTGGATGAAACCCATATCAAGGCCATTATCGATTCAAATCGTCACAGCACAACACGAGATATTGCAGAGAAGCTCAATGTGTCGCATACATGCATTGACAAAAAATGAAAAGCCCTTGGTTATGTCAAGAAACTTGATTTATGGATCCCTCACCAGTTAAAGGAAATTCATTTGACGCAACGGATTAGCATCTGTGATTCGCCGCTACTGAAACGCAATGAGAATGATCCATTTCCGAGGAAGAACCTAGTTACTGGCGACGAAAAGTGGATAGTTTATAACAATGTTACTCGGAAGAGATCATGGGTGAAGCAAGATCAACCAGCCCAAACAGTATCAAAAGTAGAGATTCACCAAAAAAAGATTATGCTGTCAGTCTGGTGGGATCACAAAGGAATTTTGTATTTTGAACTCATGCCGCAGAACCAAACGATAAATTCAAATGTGTATGTTGAAGAAGTGGAAAAACTGAAGGATGGATGCAATTGAAGATAAGCGGCCGGCATTATCAAATCGGAAGGGTGTTGTTTTCCATCATGATAACGCAAGGCCCCACACATCTTTGATTACTCGGCAAAAATTATTGGAACTGGGTTGGGATGTTTTGTCACACCCACCATATAGCCCTGACCTTGCGCCTTCGGATTACCATNAGGGGGGGGGGGAACAGAAGAGTGTTTCAAAGATGTAAGAGACAAATACAAAGGTAGAAAAAAGGTAAGAAGAGTACTGTGGAAATAGTCGAATATGGCATAGAGTGAGGTGGTGGTAGCATGAAGTGAGAAGGGAACTGCCAGTTAATAGACTTTTTTGCCGTATGAATATACGTTGCCTAGGATGCACCACGTGGAGGTAAGTCTATCGCACACCCA